TCCCACTGTTAGGAGTCCCCCAAGAGGATTAAGTTACAAAGCTGTAACATATATGCAGAGTGCCTAGGTCAGACCTAAAACGATCGTTTTTAAAAAGACTGAATTAGGTGGCTTGTTTTGCACGCCGCTTTAGCCCAGGGTGTCAGCAAACACTGACCAAATGCTGCCTGAGCCAGAATCTAAGCTTACAACGAATCAATGCTATTCTGGCAACATTCTTCGAGGGAGGTACTGTTATTACCGAGCTTCGTTTCACAGGTAAGTAAGGTGAGCCCACTCGTGGAGGACTAGCGGGGATTCCAGAGCCGGCAGCATACTGGAGCTTACGTGTTCTCTACCAACACAGTGGGGCTGGGACTTTCTATCTGACTCTGCCACAGGCCACAAAGATCAAAGTGTACAGGGACCTGGTTACTTGCAAAGCAGCCACCAATGACACATTTTTTGATGGAGGGGTTCCCTGCCGATCCCTTACTATAACCAGCCCTCATCTGTGCAGTGGGCCAGCAGTTCCCATAAACACCTCCGTGAAAGGACTTGGAGAGCTGTGGTTTTGAGGCTGAGCTATCTCAACAGCCAAATGGCCTCCATTTATTTGTTTGTTTGTAGCCAGGGTCTCACTATTTAGCCTGGCTGGCCTGGAGCTCCTTATGGAGACCAGGTTGGCCTCTAACTCACAGGGATCTGCCTGCATCTGCCTCCATAAGCTACCATACCCAGCAGATCTGCAGTTAAAACAAAACGAAACAAACAAAAACTATAATCTTATGCATAAAAGAAAAATAACCCCCAAGGAGCTGAGGAGCTGGCTCAGAGGTTAAAACCATTTATTGCTCTTGCAGAGGACCTGAGTTAAATTCTCAGGACCTGTTCGGTGGCTCACAACCATTTGTAACTCCAGTCTCAGGGGATCCGATGGTTTCTTCTTACCTCCTCAGGCACCAGGCACACATGTGGTACACATATATACGTGCAGACAAAACATACACATAAAATGACCGACCCCCTCCCCCAAATAAAAATGGGAAAGTTCGGACTTGGATCACCTGAGTCTCATCTCAAAATGCTGGCCCGGCTCCCTGGGTTATCCGACAACTGAACTCCAAGAGCAGAAAGGAGATGGCGAGAGCTCTTATCCAGGGGCCTCTTGTCTTCTGGGAAGGCGAGCTGGTACTCGGAGTGGGGAGGTACTAGAAGTGTGTTCTGAGCCTGTTTCAGTTCGCTTCATCAGACCTTGGAGCTGCGCTGCAGAGCACGGGTGAGAGCAGAGCCTAGACTACAGGGAAATGGTTTCTCAGGTGGAGGAGCGGACTGGCGGGGAGCCGGGGTTGAGCAGACTCCTCACTGCAACCCTGCCTGCCTTGCAGGCCTGTGGGCTCCAAGACCTAGATTTCCAATGAGCAGCTAAGACCTTGGCTTTTGTGCGAGAAATCTTTCATCTTCCTTTATTTAGTGACTGTGGGAGTCGGTCTCACTATGTTTGCAGGCTGGATTTGGTCTGCCAGGTTGCCACCTCTGGGCTAGGCACTGAAGAACTTGACGAATATGGGTCCCAGCTGATCCAAAGGGAGAGACTATCAGACTGTGAGGGGTCCATGCTCGGGACTGGTCTGACATTGGTCTCTGCAGGCTGCCCTCCCCTGGGTCTGGTCTCTAGATAGGCGCATCCTAGTGGCTTTGTAAATTGGTTCTATCTGTGGCACCAGCACCCCCTTGTGGACAACATGGGAAGGGCCTCATACTTGAACCCAAGTTGGCGCCTGTGGATCTAAGTCTCAGGGTCTGCGTGTACCTTGTCACTCCTACTGAGATGGATGGAGTCAGTGTCTTTGGTAAGTAAGCAAAATCTTGGAGGGACAATGACATAGCAACAATGAGGGAAGAGAAAAGGAAGGTGAGATGGTTATGCTCTTCTCTGACGGTCAGTTCTGGTTGTTCGGCCCTCACGGTCCAGAGTGTACAACGGGCAGTCATTCATCTGGACGCTTTCAGCCCTACGCCTTCAGGTCTGCAGAGAAATCAGATGTGGCGAGTTTGTTCCACTTTCCAGGGCCACACTCATTTGTGGGGTTTAAAGTCCATTGTGTTCTGTGCGCTGGAAGCTGCCTGTTTGAGTATCTCCTCCGGTTTTTTTTTTTTTGTTTGTTTGTTTTTTTGTTTGTTTGTTTTGTTTTAAAAAGATCCCTTCCCTTTATTTTTGGAAAAAGTCAAGGTCCACGTCTACTGTTTCCACAGTGTACAGGGACATTCACGCTAGCGGTTTCATCGATTTCCGTGCTTTGAGAAAGCCCCTCAGTCTCAGCATGCGCCCTGCCCATTGGTCAGTGTCCGTTCTTGCCACTCATCCCCAGTTGCGGCCCCACCTCTTCGCAATCGCATGCAGGCTTCCGTACTCTGTCTCCAGCGCCAACTTCTTGTTTCCACGGTGCTTCCTGAAGGCCAGATGGAGGCCCTGAACATGGCCTGGCCGTGGACACTTAACTCACACAGGCGCCTTGAAACTTCATGTCCATTGCCAATATATAAATGCTTATTTTGAGACAGGGTTTCTCTGTGCAGCCTTGGCTGTCCTGGAACTCGCTCTATAGATTAGGCTGGCTTCGAACTCAGAGATTCACCTGCCTCTGCCTCCCGAGTGCTGGGATGAAAGGCATGTGCCACCACTGTTCAGCTTATTTATTAGTATTATTTTTAACTTATCTTTATTTATGTGTATATATGTGTCTGCATGTCTGTATGTGCACCATATGTGCAGTGCCTGCAGACAGAAGATTCCGATGAGGGCACTGGATACCCAGGAACAGTTGGGAGTCAACTGATTTGGGAGCAAGTAACTGAACCTGGTCCTTTGGAAGAGCAGCGAGTGCTCTTAACTGCTGGGCCATCTCTCAGCCCCCTCAGCAGCATTTTTGCCACTGTCCATCCCAGAGCCCCAGGATAAAAAAAAATATATGGGCTAATATGAAGTTTGGGGACACTTGCTTCATGAAAGGCTGTTAGAACTGCAGTTCTTAGTTCATTACTAACCCTGTGTCCTCATGAATGGTTCAGATCTTTAGAAAGTTTTGGGCATACAAAAGCAAGCCGTGTGTAACAGCACACACATTTATTCACCACACTGGGAGGGCAGAGACAGGCAGAGTTCCATGAGTTTGACGCCAACCTGGTCTACAGTGTGAGATCCAGGACAGTCAGGGCTAAATAACAAAGGGCCTGACTGAAAACGACCAGAGGACCTGTGTTCAGTTCCCAGCTCACACATGGTGGCTCACAACTGTCTGCAACTCCAGTTCCAGAAGATCACATGCCCTCTTCTGGCCTCTGCATGCAGAAGGCACTGCATTATATGGTGTAGACAAAACCCTATATACATTATTTTTTTTTAAAAGAAAGAATGCAAGAGCACTGGCTAGTAAGATTGGGAGACTCTAGTTTTTACCTTGGCCTTAAGTCTGAGGTTTTTCAGTTGCTAAGCTGCAAAGACCTTGTTGAGGGCAGTGGCAGGCTTCCCCAGTAGCTCTGTGAGGTGTTCATGGTAGTGGGCGGTTTCCCAAGAGCTCTAAAGAACATCATACTTGCTTTGTTGGCTCTTGTCTCTCTCTGACCACCTGTGGCTCTGAAACAAAGTCAGTGATGCTGCGGTATGGCCCATAGAATAGAGAGCCACTGGCAGACACAGTACCAAAACCTCTGTGCAGCAGATGGGAGAGAGGGAACTCACCTCACCAGGAATGGGTCACACAGCAGTAAATTCCAAGGATGGTTACAGGTGCTAACACAAGATCGCAGAAACTCCCAGATCAACAGACCTAATAAAACTATTACCCGGTGTATCTCTAGAAAGAGTAGACGTCAAGGGAAACGGGACAAAAGAGAACTTGTAGCACCCTTGCAGCCGCCACGGTGCTGTGGCTTCAGTGCGTCCTCGTAAAACTCATGGGTCAAAAACTTAATTTCCAATTGATGGGTTCATGCTATTTGGAGGTGTAACCTATGAGAAAGTTTTGGCGAGTGCAGGGCTCTTCAAGAGGCTGGAACTGAAATGCTTGCTGTCTTCCCATGTGGTACCTTACACCTGCGTAACAGCGAGCGCAGCCGTCATATGACAGTGAGCACATATTCTCAGATGTCCCGGTTTTCTGTTCTTCAGAACCCAGACTCAAGTCTTTTGTTCCAGCAGTGAAATCTGGGCTAGGACCTTTGCAAATGGAGGTTCTAGGCATCAACAAGGAGCATTTTGACTGTGACTTATCCGATGACCAGTCTTAATCTTTATATTTATGACTTAGGTCAGAAAGAAGCTGGGAAATAGTCTTCTTTTGAAAGAGGAAGAAATGATAGGGGAAACTTATTTCTATGGTAACATCTAGTTGTTAAGGCTTTGTGTTCTTCATGGCCGTCATTCCTAGGCCATCCAAGACTGGTGAACACCAGGACCTGGCAATTGTCTGTGTTAAGGTGATAACCGACTGTCCCATCTGCCAGGCCCTACCTCACCAGCCTTCACCAGGGCGTTTGAGGACCAGGTCTCACCTGAGAGATGCAGAGAGGGTCAGGCATTGTACGGGAGTTTCTAGGAACATGAGGCAGGAGGCACCTGGCTAAGGGTGGGGATCCCTGAGACACCCCCAAATATGGAGATGGTGTGTGGATTTCTGGCACCCACACCGTGAGGCACTCATTCGCAGTCAAGAGAGTGAGTACTTGGCAAAAGCAAGGGGGATATCATGGAAGCCCAGTCATAACATGAGTGACTCAGCCACCTCATGAAGATGCTGGGCTATTTCTGCTTGTAGCTGGCTTTATTCATGGCCCAAAGTAGGGGGGGGTGGGGGGGGGGAGGTCAACAGTTCCTTGAATTGTGAAGACGTGGATGTGGTTTTACTTCTGGTTTGTACTTTATGTTGTTAGCAACTGTTGCCAACAGAGTTTTGACTCAGGACCAGTGGAGCCCAGTCTGAGGACCACCAGTCCAGAAATAAGTCAACAATGGCTAGGCATTTTAGGTCAAGGTGAGTTTATTGTCCAAATAGCATAACCTAATTGCATCCAAAACCACTTCCAACTCCATCCTCAAATCTGACTGCACACGAGTCAGAAGAACAAGTTGCCTTTTAAAAGATCACTTAGAACAGCTGACTGTGACCATCACAGCCGACACCACGCTCCCCCCGGATTTCCTAAAGACCTTATTTTTTTTTCCCCACACGATCATGCTACTTTAGCATTGTCTAGCATCCCAACCATAAAACCCACCCACACCTGTTATAGAATACACCGTGAGAGAATAACATCGATATGATATGGTATCACACTCTTAAAGCAAATTAAAAAAGAAAGGAAAAAAAAAACAATCCAAGACAAGAGATCATAACTGATAGATCTGAGGTACACGGCAGAAGGATAATAAACATAAGGGAGATAATTTGATGACCTGGCGACTTGCTGGGGACGACATACATGATGATCAGCCAAGAATGACAGCCAATAAAAATTAAGAGACCTTTTAAATTTTTTTTTCCTTTTTTGTCAAAGATAGGCACCTGTTGAAATCGAGTGGCTACTGTGCTGGCTACGGTCAGTAAGGCACTTCTCCCCCACGAGTGGGCTGCGGGCAAAGCCGTGACCTGCAGCTCCATCAGGTGTGTGTATTTGTTGATGGCTTCTTAAAACTAGAGCCAAAAACCTATCTGCTAGCCCAGTCAAGTTTAAAAGCAGAGGGGGCACAGGTTCTGGCTGGAGCACCTCTTCTGTGTTGTTAGACTCTAAAAACATCAAAGGCCACGTGGGGTAAGGAAGTCACAACACCTCCTGGATCTTCCTACCCAAATGGATGAGCGTGCGGCAGCTGTTCAGAGCCACCCGGCGTCTGCACCGAGAAATGCCTGTGTGCAATGTGTACCTATGGAGGGGCTTGTTGACCTAAGAGGACTTCACTGTCTCGGTATTCATTTCCCTTTTAAAGCTATTCCCAAGGTTGGACTGCCTAAGATAAGCAAAGAGGAATCCTTTGGACTTAGAAGTCAGCTGGCTTACTTAGACTTCTCATTGCTACCCCCAGTTTCCACACCACCAGTATACCCTCTTGAACTAGAAAATCAGTATTTACAGGACATAAGGTACAAGTGTGATCCTCCCAGGCCTGTCTCCATAGCCCACCCATACAGAGAAAGCTCATCCACCCTCTTTGTGAAAGCCGTCCAATCTTGTCTGTTGGTCCTATAGCTCTCAAGGCACAGATTGGTAGATCCCCAAATAGCTAGGCTATAAGAAAGCTATTAAGCTCCCTCTGAGGGGCCACTTACCCTGCTAGCAACAGGATGGGGTCCAGGGCAGCTCCATATACCCCTAGCCCGGGGAGCTGCCAGAGCTTGGTTAGCACACACTTTAAGATTAACTACCTCCAAGATGTGCCCTGCGCTTCCATGGTGTCCTGGGGACAGCGCACACCAAGACAACCCCTAAAAGCTGACTCTTCTAGAAGGAGCACACTACTCAATGGATGGTCAGCCTTTGTCCTCTTGCAGGCTGCCTGGCTATTAGGAACTGTTCTGAATCTCCTAATGCTTAGCATATTATTTTTTGGCATACTAGGGTTTCCTCCCCACTAAGATTTGGTCGAAACAGGGAAGGATCAAAATTTGGCAAGCTGGGGGACCAACTTAGCCCCCACAGATGGAGAAAGAACAAACAACAAGAAAAAAAAAAGAGTTTCTTAACAAGGCAGAAAAAAAAATCAGAGTCTGCAATCCCTTTTGAAGGACGTGAAGGGGGTGAGGGAGCAAGCTGAAATCCACAGGGTGATCTGTACCCCTTTGGGACAAAAATATTACCATGGAGACCCAGATTTAAGCAGAGGGTACTGATCACCAAGGAATCAAGGCTCCCCACCTTGTGTAAGCAAAGAGCAGGCAGAACAACCACTCTGCACCCTTCATCAGACAGGCTCTGAGGATGGCAGACAGGAAGTGTCCTCTTCATCCCAGATGAGAGGACTGGAGGGGCAGACAGTAGCCTGTCTCTTCTCTGCTGGGTCAGTTTCCTTCATTCAGTATTCTGTTTAACCCCAAGGTCATGAGTGCCTTGGGTAACTCATCAGGCACCCCAGGTGCCCGAGAACTCAAGTGATTGTGTTCGTCTGGTTCTTAAAGACCAGGAGTATGGGCTGTGCAGAGTGAGCTCTGGATAAACATTGGCTAGCTGCAGGCTGCTCCCTTCCTGCCCCCCCCCCCGTCACACTTCCCAATTCATCACTCACAGTTCCACCACAAACTCCCTAGAATTTTAGGGTCATGCTAACTCCCCGAGTCCTGATCCTTCCTAAATATATTTGAGACCGGAGGAACGGCCTCTCACTCCCTTTCGGTGTGCATCCCAAACTTCTTCAGCCCATGCTTCCTATCTGACACACTCAATGGGACTCAAAACCTGAAGCCATTCAATACCACCCACAGACACCTTGGCCCTGCACAACATTTGCCTGCCACTGTGGAGGATGGGAGACTCAGCACCACAGACTCCGTCCTAGGAAGACTTTGAAGACCATCCTAAGTAGGGGTATCAGTGCCAAGGAGAATTAAACTGGTCAACTTTCATGATGAAGGGGCCCTATAGAGAAGAAGGTCCTGTTCCCAGATGGGCTACAAGATGGGTGTGTGTGTGTGTCTATGAACTGTCTGCCGGAATTTTTGATTGTTGATCCAGGTGGACTGCATACAAATCAGGCTTGCCCGGTCCACTGCCTGTGTTTGCCGAGTGCCTGCCTCGTGTGGAGGAGCCCTTTGGCGTGCTTTTATCATGAGGAGGGAGCCTGAGTCAAAGGGGAGCCTGCGAGGCAGAAGATCCCCGGGCCTGAGACCTTAAGGTCAGATCTCTTCTGCCTTCTACCTAGGATGCCCAGCTTCTGCTTTCTGCCTGCCCTCTGCCTGTGCCTTCTGCTAGCGGCCTTCCCAATAGAAACTATAGCTGCGAGGTATCGTGAAACAAAAACATACATTGTTATCATTATTGATTTTGTCCAGTAAACCTGAGGTAAAGAATACTCTCTTTGAAGAATGTGATGGGGGTGGGAGATCCATGAAAGGAAAGGAGAGAAACAGAACGGATGAAATATAACCATGCTATGCTACCTGAAGGAAAGAACTGAGGAAAAAGCCTTCCCAGTACAAAGAACTCATCTCAACCATCTACTCCGGGACTTGAAATTGAAGCAGTAAAATAATATATTATAACAATGTTTCTAAAATAGCAGCACACCGTGAAACATTACAGCTAGGTACTGTTAATGTGAATAGGGATGAATGATCTCAGCTTAGCAGCGAAAAATAATAATAAACAGAACAAAAGAAAACAAAAGATAAGAGACCCTTAGCTGTTTCTCCGTCTTCAACCCTCACGCTAGGAAACAAGGCAGAGCCTGTGTATGAAATTCTTTCTTCAAAGCAGCCCTGTTCTGATCTTTTATCTTTAAAAAAAAAGGCAAATATTTTAACAAATAGCTTCATTTCCTGTCAATTGACAACTGTGGCTCCAACTTCCATTTGCTGATTGCCTCAAAGAAGTAGGAGAGGAAAAATTCAAGTACGATGAATACAACTTTGCAGTAAAATTAAACAAACAAACAGAAAAAAAAAAACACAACAACCCAAAAACAGAAAAGGTAACAAAATGCCGCACCTGATGTTTCTTTTCATGTCCAAAGAAGAAAATTACAGATGGGGATTCAATCCTTCTATGCCACCAGAATGGTTTAAACCTTTGTTTTTAGGCTGGGATAGGAATGTCAGCGGAAGGACCTCTTAGTCCTGGTAGGGACACCAGAGTTATGTACCAGAACATCAGACTCCAAAAATGAATACTAGGAAGGGGACGGGGGGGGGGGCAAAGAAGGAAGGAGTATTCAACATGATTGCATAAACCATCCCATCTACCCACCTCCCCCCCACCACCCCAACCCAGAACAATTTTTCAAAGTGCTTTTCTAATGGAATGGTTTATAACAACGTTAAACTGTGGACCAGACATGCCAGTCAGCACCAGAAGCTAAGCTGTTGTTTTCCTAATAAGGGATTAAAGATTGCCTCGCCCTCTTCCGTTATATAGGATAGCTTTGTTTCAGGTTCACTTGTGGTCTCCACCTGCCCCCATTTAGATGAGTTTTGGTCATGGCCCATAGCTAATCCCCTCCATTAGATAGCAGTAGGTACATCTACAATGAACCATGTTTGGAGGAAGAAGCACAAACTCACCAAATATGAGACTTAGGAGCCAATCATCTGTGTCCAACTGGCAAAAGACATACCCCTTAGATAGCAGCTACTGTAGACAGCGAGAGAATGCAACGGAGAGACCCCGCCATGCTAAGTCTTGGTAACACGTGGTGAGGCGTCAAGGCGCTTCTTACATCCAAAATGGTTCAGCCATGTGGACAGGTAGTTCTGTGCAACCTCCCCAGCGCGTCCCTTCTTGCTTCTGATTCCTTCTTGCGCTCACTGCTCTGCAATCTAATCATGCATGCCTTACTGGCATCCACGGCTCCTTGAAATTCTACTAAAAGGGGCATATGGACTAGTTCACAAGCACAAAAGACAGTTTTCTCTAACTTGTTCCAATATTGCAGGTGTACGTAATGGAGCTAGCCTGCGCGCTCTCCTGTAAGCATCTTACTATGACTCTTCCATCACCAAACAACTGTTCTCTTAGACAAGGGATCCCCGTATGCCGTACTTTGAACAGGCACCACATGCGTTTCAAATTATAGGGCCTTTCCCTCTCACTTCTAAAAGATCTTTAAATACGATCTAGGTGGGGGCAGATTTTTTTTTTTTTAAAGTTTCATCCTAAAACACAAAGAACCAAGCGTAACTAGAGAGAGAAGGAGCGAGCAGATGACGAACACGCCTCTCTCTTGCGGGCCCCGAACGGCGTCCTCACAGGTCAACGTCCCGAACGTCCGTAGGGGTGGTGGCTTGGTCCAGGTCGTCCACAGACTTGGGTCCGTTGTGCTGCTCTTGACGGACCTGCTGCAGGCTGTTGAGGAGCACAGCCTCAATTTGCTCCTGGCAGGCTTTGAGACAGTCCTAGAGGAAGAAGGTCCAGACCGGAGCCATTAGCATATTTACTGGCGCAGAACCTCTCCCAGAGAGAGACACTACCCAACTCACATCACCCCATACTCATTTTCCTATAGAAGGACATATGAAGAAGAGATGTTCTCAAAGGCCACGGCAGCTTAGCGCATGAAGTGGCGTCCATGAGCTGGCAACGTTAGCACCACGTGGCAGCTAGAAAGCCACCCCAGATTGAGCCAATAGGAGCTGAGATTTCAGCTGAAACCCAGGCATTTCCTCTTCTAAACCACAGACCAAAAGGTGATCCAGCTTTAAAAAAAAATCCCTTGCCTGGACATCAAGGAGCCAAATGGAGGTTTTCTGTCTGGGAAGGTTAGGAGGTGGCACAGGATTTGGTTCCCACAGGATGCTACACTGTCAGCCAAGCCAGCAGCCAATGAATAGGTAACAAGGGGAATGCTTATCTGCTCCAAGTGTTCAGAAACTGAAAACCCCTGCATTTTCTGCTCCTCTGCCACCCTGGAACTCCTTTCACAAACACAATGCAGAGTGTTTACAAACCTCAGGACACTCGGGCTTGTCCAATTGGGGAATAAGCAAGAATTTGCACTGTTGCCTTTATTAGTCTATATTTGGTAGGGAAAATCCAGAGCAAGCTGCCCCAGGCAGAAGCTTCTATTAGCTGGGAGACATGGAATGCGAGGGCAAGTCATGCTGTCACTGGGATGGGACTACGGCTCAGGCTCGAAGGCTGGGGGTGGCAAGCCAAGGAAACTGCTCTTCGTAGGGACTTTTCCCCTTCGCCTCTTGGGTCTGCCTCCCCGCACTCTGCATACAGAAACTGGGCTAAACTGAATCTTCCCCTGCCTGCCCACAGTTTAATACACACTTCCCCTCTGTTTATTTCTCGGTGGAGATCTCACCACCTAGAGGTTGCTATTTTCCCAAGCACAAAGGCATTATCTTTATTTTCCAAAGACCTAAAATAAAGTTGGCATTGACTACCAAGGAGCGAAGTTTCCGTTCCCTCCCACCTCCAACTTTTTTCTTTCCTATCTCTCATCTGTTCCATGTTTCAAACTATAGCTTGAAGATGAGAAGTGACGGCAGACCAAGGGCAGAGGGCAGAGGGCAGAGGGCAGAGGTGAAATGCTTCCCCGAATCTAAGAACCATGGGAAAAAGGAGGACGGTGTTTGCTGCTCAGTCCACACATTAGTGATTCCCGTCTCTGTTTCTCCACCTGTAAAGATGAACTCCTAAGTAGCAGACTGATAAATGATCACTGTTGACGCGAGTGTGGTATGTTTTTATCTGTCCCGGAATCTGAAAGAGTCCTTTGGACTTTGAGATTGGATGTTTCTCAGGCTGGCTTTAATCAAGTGATTCTCCTGCCTCAGCCTCCGGAGTATCCAGGACTGCAGGCACACAAACATGGCCATCTTAGATGTGTTTAAAGGAAGGTAAGGATTAGCAATTATTCAAGACAAGGATGTGCCACAGATCTGGTCCTAGAGATAGTGTGGTCCAGTGCTGGGGATCACCAAGCCAATTTCAACAGCGCCAAACGAGGGACTCACATGCCAAGGATCTAACGTCTCTCATCCTGATCTGTGGGCAAGATCATCTGGGTTGGCACATCCAGCCCATCGTCATGACCAATGTACATCTCCATGGTACCAGTGTATGAATCTTGCCAGATGGTCCTCTGAGGAGATCAGCCTGTAGAGAGCTTAAGGATTTGACTGTAGGATTTGCCGTTTCCTGATTCTTCCTGCTAGCAAGCCTTCCCTTCTACTGGCCCAAGACTTTAAAGGGACAGTGCTGAGAGACCCCTACAGGGAAGACAGGACATCTGGCAGTCATTTCCACTGGACTTGGAGAGCCAAAGGCTCAAAATGATGCAAGAGGCACGCGTCAACCAAGGGCAGGTTCACAGGCTAGTCTAAGCAACGGAGGGAGATCCAAAGATTTCTATAAAAAATGTACACTCTCCTTTCTGACGTTAATTGACAGCCAGCTCATTACTGACTCTAGATGACCCTTGACCTATGATCCCTCTCACTTGGAGAAGAGAACAAGGGCTAACATCAGCCTAGGAAAGATGGCCGCAACTCCACCTGCTGCTCACACAGTCGACTGCTAAGCCCGTCTCTGGTCTTTGCTGGACTATACATCAGTTTCTACTCCCTGACAAGTTGTTCTACTTTTAACTAGGACCCCTCAGTCCTGGCTCAGGCAGGTGGAAATCTCAAAGGCAAAAGCCTGTACTGCGTGAACCACGGAGAGCACACCACTTACTACTGATGGAGAAATCTGCGCGGTACCCTTCCAACATCAATCAATCCCAGTATAGTAACACCCTCCTCCCCCACGGCTCTGTGGGAGCCCTTCTCGGGCCCAACGGAGCAAATAAACTTCCCATGAGCCTGCAGAAAGCAAAGAGGACCATTGCAGGGGAGTCATGACTTACAAGGAGCAGGGGAATAAGTTGCAGGCGGCGACTTAGGAGATGGAAGAGCCCTGCCCCCAACCCAGCCACATAGCTTGTGCCAGGAGGCCGCAGGAGAGAAGTATGGAGTCCGGAGCAATTCCAAAGGGACAGGACTCACAAATGATATCTTAATAAATAATCAGAGTATCCGCAATTTTGGAGATGTAAGGGGCCTGCAGAGACCAAACTGGGGACAGGCTTGGGGAATGGGAGTGGCTTGTCCCTGAATGACAACAGAAAAATCCACGCAAGTCGCCAGTGTGAGAACTTTCTCTGCAAGTTCTCTGCTTCTTTCAAGATGTAATGAAGGGTATAATGGACAGAGATGCTCCAGAAAGGAAGACCCAGGCCGAGTGTGTGTGTGTGTGTGTGTGTGTGTGTGTGTGTGTGTGTAGGGGTGATGACAACAGTGCCCCCGATGAAAAGATGCTACATCCCTGTGACATGCGAGAACTCCAGGACCTCAGCTTTGCGGCAGCCTCCCAAAGCAGCAGGCACTGTGTTAAGATGCCCCAAATTAAGCTGATTAAAAGGAAAGCTATAATGCTAGTCTGTCAGCCGGACAGGTGGCACTCCACTGCGCTGGAGGTCGGGCACCCCTCCAGCTTCTCTGATGACGGCCCCCTCCCTACACTGCCCCGGCCCCCCAGCCTCAGAGCCCTGACAGCAGCGGCTGTGATCTCCAGCTCGTTACTCGGTCCCCGACTTCCTCCACTTGCTGGCTCGAGCTCCCTGCCCTGCACCCTCCACCGCCTGCATGAATGGGCCACGGAACTCCAACCATTAGCCCTCAGTGTAACTGCATCAATCCATTTTCACTACACACGCACTGCACTCAACAGGGGGACAAAGGGCTGAATGAGCCCCAGACCCGCGGCCAACTCAGGCAGAGACAACTTAGGAAACTATCTCATTCTTCCTTTCTTCACAGCCTGTTTGGCTTGTTTCCTTGCATACCAAATGACACTGACCAGAAACGAGGAGGGAGGGAGGGAGGCAGCCCCCAGCTCTAGCCCACCTCCCCCGCCCCCTAGCCCGTTGCCTTCCAACCAAGCTTCCCAGAATTGCTGACCTGGTAAAGCCCACTAAAGGGTCACAGCGATGGCTCTCAAACAGCAAGTCTCAGGCTAAGGGGAAACGGAAGAGATGATAGGGACCTCACAGAAAACCTGGGGTCCAAAACAAGCCGTATTTCCTGAAGTTATTAGTTTTCTAATTCCTCACTGATAAGCAGTATCATAAAAAGCCAAGATGAGCCTAAGGGAAGAACATTCTAGAATCTACTCTGGGCAGTTCTCGGGAGCATGGCAAGAAGTGCTGATGTAACCCAGATCGAACTGGCTGTCTGACTAGAGCCTGTATTTGGTCTATGAAATATCTTCTAGAAATGTTCTCATATCTTTAGAGCATGAAAACCTCAATTCAATTCTTTTTTTTTCTCCTGGAAATGCTGGGAACTAAACCCAGAGTCTTGCGTGTGCTAGGCAAGCATTCTACCACCGAGTCCCCTATCAACCAGAAGTTCCACTCTGTAACTTGTTCCGTGTGGTTGAGAGTGAAGGTTAAGTGACGTGCACTAAGATAATCTTCTGACACGTAATTATGTATGTATAGACAGACAGGTAGATACAGAGAGATGATTCATGCTTCCAAAAGTTATGAATGAATGAGAGGCACACTTGAAACCCATCTGCCTGCCCTTCGCTCCTTCCTTCCTCCTTCCCTCCCTCCCTCCCTCCAGTCTCACTCCCCGATGACTGCCAGAGGCTTGGGATAAAAAGCCAAGTCTAGTTGGGTCTCATTCAAGAGGCCCTATGGTCAACTTAACAGTGAGGTAAATGCTGGACCAAAGCATTATCACACTGTGGAGGGGACGGAAAAGGAACCCAATTCTGCAGGGGTCTGGGATGGTCGATCCCCGCTCTCAAACTCACCCTTGGCAACGGAAGCCTGGGTAGGTAAGAAGTTCCCCAAGAGCCAGCCTGCCTCCCTGGCTAGGATCTGTTTTTAGCAACTCTTAACTTGTAGCTGGAAGTAAAAAGTACTGAAAATACGTTATCCTCTGAGATTTCCCTTCCTGTAAAACTGTCAGGGTTTTCACTCAAATTTCTTTTTGGAATGGAGTGTTCTGGTTTATTTTGGCAACAAGATGGGAAAACAAAGACCCACTTTCTCAGAGCCGCGTGGGTCCCTGCAATCCCAGCTATCTGCTGCCACTGAGTCGTGGAATGCAGTCCACGGGTGGCAGACGAGTCAAGAGGACCCGCTTTCAGCCTTGCTTTCAGACCATCCATGAGTTGTCACTTAAAGTGCGAGTCAAACAGGGTGGCTCTGAAAGGCTGAAAAGACTGGAAAGAAAAAGGTGAACTCAGGAACTTCAGTTGGCTCTCTGTCACAAGGCGGCAAATGTGGTCCTGAGCGTTGGTTTAATGTATCCATGGGACAGCCCAAAGCACCCACTGGCATTTCACAGGGGTGATCCAGGATGTTTCATATGTATTTGTACACATAATGCATATGTATCTATATACATATAGATATATACATAATCCACGAGTATATATCTACATATCTATATATGTACATATCTATATATGTATATATAGATAAAGTATTATGACATATCAACCATTTTTATCATATTTTAGTGCTATGTACATCTGTACTGTGGGTTCTGCCCAGGATACTCATCTCAACCTGAGCTTTTACTATGGACTTCCCTTTCCTTCCTCCTCCCTGGTCCTGGGAACCTCAGTTACACTTTTTGTTTCTATGAATTTGACCTCTCCAGCTGCTTCATAGACAGCCGGATCTGGCTTACCTTACTTAGCACAGTGTTTTTCAGCTTAAGCCCATGAGGATGTTTCTTTTGAAAGGCTATACAGAATCCCATCCCATGGTCGCATCACATTTTGTTTCTCTAGTCCAAGGACCTGTTTTACAAACTTTATTCTGCTCAAATTACAATCGGCCTCATGAGTTCCTTCACTTAAAGAAATGCCCTGTCTCGTTTTAAACTCAGAACACGCTAGCATTTGTTAATCCACGATCTTGTCAGGCCGCTCCAGGCTCTACTTTTCTTTTTTGAAATGTAGTTCATCTATTTTATGTGCACCAGAGTTGTGCCCGCCTGTGTCTGGAGTTACAGATAGAGTCACATGGGAGCTTGGGAATCAAATCCAGGGGCTCCAAAAGAGCAGTCAGTGCTCTTAAGCATTAAAATCATCCCAGTCCTTACTTTACATTTCGATTGATCGCCAAGTTATTTTCTATGCTCCGTCTGCCTAGTCCAGCTTCTAGCACTGTGCCCGGGGACTACTCTAATGCAGCAGTCTGCAACAACTGGGCATTCTCAGTGCTTCCAGAAATGAATGGGGAGGTGTGATCTAAACACACCACTTCTTCATTCCCAAAATGGTGAACAGAGCCCGGGAAAGCAGAATTCTCCCTCTGATCACCAGTGCATTCTAAATGGAAGCTGTATTGGCCTTCGCTCTGGAATTCAGCTCCTCAGAGAACACGTGCTGATGGAAGGGAAGACTTTCAGCAACTGGGGAGCTGCAGGAACAACAAAACCTTCCACTGAGAACACTTCCGGGAAGCAATGAGTGAGCTTCCAGGGGGTCAGTGGTACGTGTGGAACTTACTGAGTCACCAGCCATTTACCTGGACAAGTGAGGTCAATCTGGCTAGTTCCTATGTCAATGCCTAGGTTTTAATGCTGCGAGGTCTATTCTTGGGTGAACTGGGAGAATCAAGCATCACCTGCACCCCAAATTAAGACAAAACCCTGGTCCCTTGCAGAAATGAAGCGCCAGAGACAGTGAGATGACTCAACGGGTAAAGTTGCCAGCACCAAGCTTGCTGACCCAAGATGAATTCCCAGAATCCGCATGAAGGAAGAGCCAATCTCCAGAGCAGATTGTTCTAACTGTGTTACACACATGCACACAAACACACAGACATAATTGAAAATTTTGTTCAAAGAAATAACCGATGGGAGCCTAGCTGGATGTATCTCAGTCTGGCGGCTGACTAGAATTTCCTTGGTGTCTGAGAGGGAAGAGGGCATCTCCAGTATGAAATGACAGGCTGGCGTGGGGTCACCAGAGTCAGAGAGTCTCAGTGGTCGACCACATGAGCAGTTTCTGTCCATGTGTAACAGTAAGGACTGGGGCAAGGGAAAGTCAAAGCACTGAGCCCTGCCGGGATATCAGCCAATCAGAGCAGGCCTTTAACTGTTGAAAATGGGGAGACAACCTCAGGGTCAAGCTGCTGTCATAGGCATTTTTGTGTGTTGGGGAAGGGGTGAAGAAAGACTTATTTGCAGCCATCTAGCATCCTATCTACAAAGGGAGCCTTAACAGGAGACATTAAGAAAAGGCAAGAAGGACGAGGCCCTTCACACACACACTTCCCTTGGGGAATAAGAGATGCATTCTTCACCCTGTGCTGGGGTTGGAACCGGAGAACTTTGCAATCTATACTTTGGAGCCCTTGCTGGAAAACATACATTTGGGCACCAACATTTAATACAGTTCATCTAAAAACCGGTTCCGAGAAGAGCCCAGGCTTCTCTGAGCTAGTGGCCAAGGCCAAATCCGAATACAGGTAAACTGATGTAAGGCCTTGAGCTCCCCGAGTTTAAACAACCACTGCTCAGCCTACCTTGGGGAGACACCAGCCACAGGCCCATGGATCACATGATCACGTGACATGGCCCTAGAACCCAGTAAATTCCTTCACAGGGCACTCTCATTCCTGAGCCTCTCCATGGTGAAGCACTAGGACCCAAGAGCCAGCAATACTCGTCTCTCTCCTTGGCCTTTCAACGAAATGCCTTTTGCAAATACCAAGTTCCCAGGAGCCACAGCAGTGAACAGTTTCCAGGCTGGAGTCAGAGCCCAGTGGCATTGAGTCCCCGCTCTGCAACTACCTGTCTTGCCTCTAGGTTGCCTCCTTAACCCCCTCTGCTGCCTGGTGAAAACGTAGGTAACTGTCTATCTGGGCTCGGCGTCATCCCAGATGGAGCCCTTCCCAACTGTTATATCCTAGGCGGTAAAATCAGGACCTTATGGAATCTCGGTCCGTCTCAAAGCCCTCTCTTGTTTAAGAGCTCTGAATTCTGGCAGCCGGCAGCAGACTTGGGGCTATCCACACAGAATGGAAAAAGTCTAAAGCTAATAATAGTTTCTCGAATTTGTATTGCACTTGGTCTCTGTGTGCCTTGTCATTCATCACAACTTTGATCCAAAGGAAAGCCTGAGACAGGATGGTGGAAAACCCTGACATCACGCTCACAAGGCCACCTCTTGAATCTGCTCCCTCCACGGCAGCCACTGCCCAGCCGGCTTTAGCTGTCCCCTCGTTGAGCTTTACCGCCTCAGAAGGGAGTAGGAGAACTGGAGCCTCTCCATGGCAGAGCAGAGGCCCAACAACGTGTACATAAATGGACATGAACCCCACACCACAGAGGAAAAGTAGGCAACGGCCCTCCCCCTCCCATCAGCCTGCTAAGGTCTGTCTGGATTTTAAGGCACACACAGGCTTTCAGGCCCACAAAAGGAAGCAGGAGGTAGCGGTGCACACCTGTAATCCCAGCTACCAGAGAGGCAGAGGCAAGAGGATCACAAGTTCAAAGTCAGCCTGGGCAACTTTGTGAGACTGTCTCACAATAAAATGATGATGCAACTCAGTGATAGAGGGACTGCCTGGCACGCCCAGAGCCCAATCCCCAGTAACATGCACACATTGAGGGGGAGGTGTCTCTCTACTGGAGCTTACAGCACCTTAAATGCTGATCCTCAAAGACAAATAGAAAGAAAAAAACAAAAAACAAAACAACAAAAACCCCAACCCCTTTGACCCAGTATCATAAACCAACCACCTTTCCTGGAACTTTGGGAGAGACATCTGGTTTTGGCCACGATGGCAGGTACCTACCACATCAGTGTGGGTGATCTTGGCCAGCAGCTCGGTCAGCGCATCACACGTGAGCGTGTTCGCTTCTTCATCCTGCTGAAGCCCGCAGATGGCGGCTCCCACACTTCCAGTGGCGATCATCGATGGTGGGTACATGGCAAACTTGAAGTCTGTAAAGAGAGAAGAGGCTACGAGTTAAGCCCAGAAGCAAAATGGGACCCAGAGCCTGCCAGGCTGCAGAAGGCGTGGGACTGCTGTCCTAGCATCCCTGGCTCCCTTGACTCCTTCCTCAGGAACCTCTTTTGCCAACCATGGACATTCTCAGCCTTAAAAGAGAGACACCGAGGCAAGAGGGGCAGGGCAATTACCTGAGTGTATACAACAAGTCACCAAGGGCTTCGTGAGTTGCCTCAGGAGGCAACTATGCCCTACAATTGTCCAAGAAGTCAATGCATGCCAGGTACCAGGTTCTTTGCCCCAGCAGGGCCAGGGAGGTGACTAAAATGGGCATCTCCATGGGTGATGGTGGGACAGAGTCAAAGAGGCATGCAATTGTACAAACAATATTCCATCCACCCTACAGGTGGGATAACTATGGGCTTTCAATGTTTGAAGGAAGGAAGACCAAGTACAGGGAGATGGGGGAGTCATGAGAATTCTTGTGAAGAGTGATATCCCCAATAGGATCTGACTAAGAGTAACAGGTCTCTCCCTGGCTAAGCGTTAAGAAACACCACAGAGGAGCTGGAGAGTCAACTCGATTTCAGCACCCACATGAACGGTCTGGAGCTCTAATTGCAAGGGATCTGATGCCCTCTTCTGCACTGGGCATGCGCACGGTATACATACATATACGCGGGCAAAACAATCGTGTGTGTGTGTGTGTGTGTGTGAGTACGTGCTCACGTGTGTGCATGTCAGCTAAATACAGCAGTAATGTAGGAGATGAGGTGAGTTGGCTCAAATTCACTTAATTCTCAACTTCTCACCCTATGTTAAGGATCTTCAGAACATCAGAACAGAGGCCAGAACTTTACTCAAATACCAAAGACTAACGTTTACTTTCCAAGGAGTTAAGACAGAAGATTCACCTCAGTTAATAAGGGCAACTTGGGACCTGAAGCCTATTTCCTACTGAATGATTCATTCCCTAAGGGGCTTCTTGATTACGATCCAGTAATTGTGGGCCTGCCAACTGCTAACATGCATGCATTGAATGTGATGCCTGGTTAACATGAATATCAACCACGGAAGATGACCTTATGGATGGAAGGAAACCTGGGAATTGTCAAGCTGATCCTGCCCCTGCCCCTGCCCTGGGCTCACAAACCACAGAGGAGACACTGTCACTATTCAGTCCAGTAGCAGTTGTGAAACGGGGCCCACTTTCCAGTGTACGATCTCGAGTTGGAGCAAGAGCCCGACAAATCCAGTGGGGACGGAGGGCAGAGATCATAGAGGGGCAGGGGAGTCGTACTTCAGATCGTAATGAGACCACCGGGCGGAACGTGCAATGCTCAGGGCAACCTAGGCTCTCCCCCTTTTTTCAATGCAATGCTCCCTTGCAGCAGTGTGTCACTGCGAGGGTTGTTCAGCGGGGGAGCACGGCGCCTCAGCCCTGAATCTCTACTGTTCTTAGCTACTCCGCCGATCAGCGAACCGTGCATGCGTCCCCTCCCACCTGGACTCAATCCCAGGAACACTGGGTAGGCCTGGCCGTCTGTCTGTCTCTCTCCTTGGCTTCCTTCCCTTCGCCATTCACCACGTTCACCTTGAGGGCCATATATTATGGGGTCTCACCCAACTCCTGCTGGCCGCCAACCCCTGCCTGTGTCTTCTCTATCCGCCCAACTGGTGTGACAGAGCCAGCCTCCTTGCCTCCCGCGCTGCTGTAGGTCTTTCCCATATGGGCCACAGGAGACTGTTTCTCTGTCCAATAACCTTGTTAGCGCCCCTCTGTGACATTCATAGCGCAGAAGAGGCAGCCAGCCCATGGCCCTGGGCCTGCAGAGGCCCTGGGTGAGAGCACCTGGCAGTGACAGGGCAGGGAATTGTCCCCAATGTTCCCGTTCTTGTGCCCAGGCTCCAGATCAGGAGGCATCAGCGTCCCTCCCTGTAGAACTCTGCAGTCACATTGCTAACAAAACCAACTCCAGGTTAGCATGTGGAGCCAGAAGGGCTATGTGGCTTGACCTCTGGGGTGCAGGTACAAGACCTTTATGTGGGGAGTCCTCCTTGGGCACAGTGTGTCTGACACTTTATACCATGATCCTACACGCACGACTCTCCCTCTCCCCAGGGGAAAAACAGGTGTTCCCAAGAAGTAGCAACTTCTTGTGGCTGGGTAGCTAATTTGTTACACAGCAACACACCCCGTACGGTGTGTTATGCTTGGTTTCATACACACTAGACGGATATCTTCAAAAGAAACGTTTCTGACCTAAAAAAAGGGTCCTAATTTCCTGGGCAGTGGTGGCACACACCCTTAATGCCATCACCTGGGAGGAAGAAACAGGTGAAATTCAAAGTTTAAGGCCAGCCTGGTCTGCAAAACGAGTTCCAGGACAGCCAGAGCTACTCAGAGAAACCCTGTCTCGTAAAAGAAACATAAAAGTCTGAGGACAAATTTACCTTCTTCACAGGGCAAGCCTGAGGAGTGACTGTAATAGCCTAGGCTGTCAGCCCAGGCACAGAACCTGACTTGGGTTCTGTGAAGCACACATGACAGACGCCCGTCACCCTCCATCCTAATCCCTGCCCTCCACTGCTTTCACTGCCGGGACTGCCTATGTGGCTGTTAAGTCAGTCGTTACCTTTGCCCTGCAGTTCACACTGATTCAGATGTGGTTCACCTAGAGCCCAGGAGCAATGCCCATGTGAGGAGCCCCAGGCTGGCCTCCTCACTCTCTCCGGGTGGGTGCAAGAAAAGGACACATTTCAGGAAAATGGAACTATTGAGGTGTCAGGGGATTTGTTCAATTCACTGGGTATGTTGGACTTCTGACTAGGAACACCTTTGTACTCCAATCCAGTCTGGGTTTAGAACAATCCTCAGAGTTACCTCCTACACGATGAAGGAAGACACAAAGGAAGGGCTCTTAATCAGAAACCCAACTATAGAGAGCCTGGACTCGTCCACCATCTCTGCAGTATCAGCAGGGAACTGTGGTACCAAATCCCAAGGATGCCACAGAAGCAGCTGGGTGTCTGGCGTGGCTCCCAAGTCTGGACAAGGACCAGGAGAAGCACTCCCTATCCAGAAACTTGGAATCTGCAGTTCTTGGTGAGATTTCACTGGCTTCGCTAATGGAGTTTAAATCTGGGATGCTGTGTGTGGTCCTGCTCAAAGAGCTTAACACTGAGTAAAAGTAGGAACCTAAGTAGTGCTGGCTAACAAAGCCTCCCAGGGGCTGCTTTATTCTTGCCCGCCACTAGGGGGAGCGTCGTCTATTTTCAACGAACAAACCCAGGGTCTGTTTTCTCTGCTTCTTCCCCTTCCTCAACCTATAGTGAGGGAGGTGCAACTTTACAGGACCAGACCCAGGGTGCTCATTGGCCAGCAAACGACACCCGTGACATCATTCAGCACATACTCATCTGCCTCCCCCAGAAAGGATTCAGCATGGTGCAAGGGTAATAACTGCTAATGCCAGAGTTCGCTTGGGTGGGAGGTGGAGACGGCTACTGCGCCCGGAGAAACGCACCCATTTATCTTAGGGCCAGATGGGATGTGAGATAACCGGTATCACTCACACAACTCCAGTTCAACAAGCTACTTCCTCCTCTCGGCCCCATGACTGCCCTCTGGGGGCAGTGCAGAGGCCCCGGTGGAAATGTGGGTTTCGTTCTTCCTTCCTGGCTACCAGAGGCTTGGATTACATTCTAGAACAAGAGTCAAGTCCCCGGGCTTTTCAGGGTCACCACAGTCTGGCTACAACTTGGGGCTGGGAATCAATGACCACTTTTAAGAGATGACTAAGTGAACCCCAGGATTCCGCCTTGGGGTGGAGGTGGGGTAACATAGGCAATTGGGTACAGCATGCACAGTTGGGCTCCCAGCGCAAAAAGAAGGGGCTGTGGGGTATCTGGAGCACCTGTGCCGAGTTTAAACTCGATGCTGCTGCAGCCACATGCTAAGCATGAGGAGGTCGCTGGTACCCAAGTGAGATCCTGGTCATCTGGGGGCGGGGGTGGGGTGGGGTGGGGTGGGGGGAGTGGCGGGGAGGGAGGGGGTAGGCTTCTTGCTGTGTTTTGTTGACCTGGGACCTCTGGTGTAGAGAGCCCCTCAGGAGAACTGAGCCCACTTCTGCCTTCCGCGGAACCCCGAGTTCCAGGAACTGGAGTTATGAAGACCTCTCAGGTCGTTCAAACTCCACCCCGAGACCAACTGGGAGAGTCATACCAGTCACTTCTCTCCCCAAAGCCACTGTAGGCTGAAGAGGGAAGGAAGACACCTCTCTGCCCTGTCACCAACCCCAGAGTCCCATAAAGGCAGACTGCTGGTCAGCCACGCTTCCCTCCACGGGCCCCTGATCTCCTCACCCTCTCTTCCCCTTTCGCACACACATACGCTCCACACACCCCCTCAGAGCCGCTGCCAGCAGCTCTTTCACAACTGGGTTTTCCCATAAACTAGCAACATCACCCTGGGGCTGGCTACCTACCATTTCTTCAGGGACTGGCCCCTTCTCCCTTGCCATGACCCTGTGAAGACCCTGGCTGCAGGCGCCAGCCGTGTGGTATGGGGCATCCAGAAGCACCAGCTGTGGTGGAAGGGACAGGCTCCTCCTGCCTTTGGTCCTTGACTCACTCTGAGCCTGCTATTTGAGAGTCCTGCCATGTTTGGGCCCACTAGATCTTAGCCCCCCGAAGATCATGTCCCCCAAGAAGACTGTCGTTGAAGAAGAGCAGCAGGTCTTGGTATTTAGGCTACTGTCCAGCCTACTGCCTGTCATGCCCCATCACCAGCAGGGCTCCAGAGTTTATTCACTTGCAGAGGCCCAAATGCAGAGCAGGAGAGAGATCGGGGCCCGTAACAGGGTCCTTCCCACACTCAGAAGGCTTGAGGCTCTCTTCTCTACTTTCACCAGGTCTACGCCTCCGGCTGGGTACTTGGCATACGGCTCTGACCTGACTGGAGGTACCCTCTCCCCTATCCTTCCCACTCCTTGGCTAAAGCTAGGCTGAGGCCCCCAAAGGCAGACTTCCTGACTGCCCCCACCTCCCAGCAGACCTCTGTCCTCAGTCCCTGGATCCCAGGCTCCCCGTTTTGGCCCCAAAGTTGGCAGCTGCCCCAAGGATCTGGACAGGGCAGCCAAGAGTGGGGGATGGGATCCCCAAGAACAGAGAACGGGCCTGTGGTCTATACAGGATTAGGAGAATCTATCTACCCCAGTGCAAGATCAGGGAGAGAGAAGCGGTGAACAGACTCCCCCAGAGGTCTGTTCGTCAAGAGACAAGGTCAGAGCAGGACTCTCGCAGCTGGCAGTTGGGTGATGGGGTTATTTAGGTCCTGGGGTCAGCTGTCCTAGGGCCAGAGAGAAAAAGTTGTTTCACCTCTCCCCCTCTCTGAACCAAGGCAAGAGAGGAAAGGAACGGAGGAGTTCCTGGGAGACAAAAGAGCAGGCCAATGTGAGACTGACCTCTAGAGCCCAGGCCAGTGAGCAGGAGAAGGGCAGGGAGCAGACTACTGCTGTCCAAAGGGAAGCCAAGACTTTTGGGGCTTCTGTGTGCACACCTCCCTCCCCCACACTGGCTGTTGGAAGGGCAGGTAACTCCAAGGTCCCCAGGGTCTGGACTAAACCAGCAATAGGAAACCTACACACACACACATACCTAAAAGTGGAAGGTAGAATCCCACAAACAAGCTAGTCGGAGCCCGTGTCCAGTAGCAGGAAAAGCCATGTCCACCTTAAGTGGAGAAGCTCAGGTCTCAGACCAGGGCTCCCCAATTGGAGTACTTTCTCAGTTAGTACTGCTCATGCGCCTTATAAATCACAGGGCATGTTTCGCTGTGGGCTTTAGTTCTATGCATTCTGCAAAGGCTAAAGCAATGATGTAGCCAAAAGCTTGTTTTGCAGAGGGAATTGAACTTGAGAGAGGTGAAACAGCCTGTGCAAGGTCTTCCAGTGATAAGTAACAAAGTCTAACTGACCTTTTAACTTCATGGACTCTATTGTTCATTAGACAGTCAGCTATGCAAACACATAATTAAGGTGTTACAAGGAATTAAAATGTTACACCCCACCCCAACTCTCCATCAAAACTATGCAGTTCAATAACCCCTTGGGGAACTGAGCTTCACTTTCTGACCCTGAGGCGATGAACTCCTGACACATCTCCCCTGGACTTCTAAACTCCTAGAGTCAGGGTTTTCAACTTTCCTAATGCGGCTCCCCTTTAATATAGTTCTTCCTGCTGTAGTGACCCCCAACCATAAAATTGTTTGGTTGCTACTTCATAACTGTAATCTTGCTACTGTTATGAATTGTGACAGAAACATTTGATATGCAGGATATTTGATATGTGACCCCTGTGGGGTTGAGACCCACAGATTGAGAACCACAATTCTAGCATCTTCTACCCAGGTGTGGGCCAGTAACAGTTCTGTATCAAAATCTTTTCCAGGGCTTGGGAAATGAATCTTTACTCAAAGGTTTACTCCCTCATCAGGAGAGGGAGCAGCCAGAGGGCAATAAATGAAGCACGGTGAATAGGAACTCTTTCCCACTTATCAGGGCGGACTGCGTATTTTTATCTTGTCGCTGTTCCTTTAACCTATAGTTGCCCCCACCTTCCTTAAATTCCCTCTTGGGCTTATCTTCAAGCTGTCCTTTTCCTCAAAAGATTAAAGATTTGAACGCAACCAGTGAGCAGTAAATATAATCTTCAAAGAGCACTTTAGGCATCATAAACAATATTTTAGCAGGTCCTAATTTCTCTTCCCTTACCACACCTGTCCCCATAAAGCATTTATGAGTGAAACAGAGAAAGGAAATATTCTAGTTCCGATAAAGAGCAGCGAACAAGCCAGAAACGAAACCCCAGACTGGCTTCCTCGTGCCCACTTGCCTGGACACCCAAAGGGGCAGAGCAGTTGGTACTGCCCCACCGGCCCCTAGTGCAAGCCCGGGACCCCCTCTCACCGGTAGCACACAGAGCGATGAAGGTCTGCGCGTGCTTGCGGATCAGGGACAGCTTCTCCTTCTGCTGGGGCAGCTTGCGCAGGATATGCTCGATGAAGTCGTGAGGGGTGACAGCAGCCAGGTTCCACTTCAGCTTGCCCAGCACCACCAGCTCCCACTCCTGCGAAGGGTAGGAGCAAAAGCACTAAAAATCCGGAGGCTGACTCGGTCTGGGCTGGGGGCTGGGTTCCAAGCCTGCTTTAATGATTCTCATTAAGGCTCAGCTGTCAGATCAAGATCATGGGGGGAAGGGAGTTCATTTGTCGCCTTGCCCCTCATGCTTTGAAGTCACTGACAGCTCTTCTTGTGCTGAAAATGTCAGGCTCCGCTGAGGATAATGAGAGGGCAGGTAACTGCTGCCAAGACCCTAGGTTCTTCAAGTTTCTACCTATCCCCTATCCCCACCCACAGGACCCTGATGCCCACAAAATGCTGCTGCCTGCCCACCTAGAAACCTGGACCTAGTCCAGGTCACTGTGGCACTGTGGTGATAGTTTATTGACTATGTCTCTACCGTAGGACTAACAGTCTCTTTACTTCTCATGGGGGAAAAGGGGGATGCTTCCAGATTCGGAGCGCAAAAAGCTTCCTTGGCCCAACTCATTGGCAACCAATTAGCTGGCCTTTACTTGTGGGACAAAGTTTTGCTCTGTGCTGCTAACACTCCCCTTTGACACACCATGCAAAGAGCCTTGGGGATAGGACACTTTCCCCTTTCCCCTAACTCCTCAATGGCCTTTGTCCTCGCAACTAAAGGGTCTGAGGTGGTCACTTGTGACCCCATGTTGCAGACAGTCATTTGAGGCAAGGTGGAGGGGCTTAGACGGGATTCTAAAACCCTGTCAGCCTCCTCTTTTCTGGGCCGCTCACAGCAGTCCCACTAGTAAACAACTTTGTGCCTCTCCTCTTGTGAACTAAATACGGGAAATTATGTCCCAATGAACTGGACTAAATACAATAAAACCGTAAGAGTATGTGCACCTGAAGGGTGCAGGCCTGAGCTTCCGCCTCTCTGAGGCAAGCTTGAATTTGCAAGACTTTGTTTCTTTTGTTTGTTTTTGTTTTGCTTTTCTACTTTTCTGAACGTGGGGGTGCATTCAAAAGGAAACCGTCCCCAGCAACCAGTGATTCCTGGCCGATAGAGCCTGGCCGGCCATGACTTGACTCTTCCATCTGCTAAGCCCAAGGGCAGGCTACAAAGCACTAACTAGCTACGGTATGTTTCTGGAGCAAGCTCTTTTCATCCTTAAAATAGGAGGGCTCTTCCCGACCCCATGCCTTCTGGATTGGGGGTGGAAAGCTGCCATGCTTTATTTGGAGAGAGTTAAGTTAGCTTCCCTGGTCCTGGAAAAATTAGGGTGTCATGAAAAATACCTCAAATCCTCCAGCATATCAGGCACATGGAAGATTCTTTTTCATGTGTTTTGGGAGAAAAACAAGCTGGTCTCCAATTCTGATCTTTTTTATTTTTTTTTTTACAAGCTTTCAAGTGTGCCCTAGCTTTTAGCAGAAAGTTGGGATAAAGATCCGCTTATCTACACAAAAAACAGAGATGGTTTGAATCCCAGCTCTTCCTTCTTCTAGGGCAATGTGAGCACAAACTCGTCCTCTGGCATCATTATTAAAAGAAGCGGATCTTCCAGAAGAAAACACCTTTAGGGGCCTCTCAGACCAAACCAGAAGCAGCTGAAATCTGGCAGTGGTTCAAAGGTGAAGTCATTCGTGCCCCTCTCTGCATTCTCGGCAATTCCTCCCCCAACCTTGCACATGTCTGCCACTAGGTGGCAGCACAAGCCCAGAAAGGAGGGCTTTTCACAAAGAGCTCAGTTCAAGAAGCCAGTCTCTCTCAGCCTTGGAGACTTTGTGCAGGCCCAGGCCATGCCAGCAAGGGGGAGGGAGTGGGCAGAGGGGGTGGTCCTCTTCTACCAGTGCAAGAGAAAGGTGTGCAAACCACTGAAGGTAGGCACCAGAAGCTGCAAAAGAGCTGCACGTTTCCGGTGTGTGGCTGCAATAGAAAGCAAAGCTGCAGGAGGGGGGAAAATGGGAGATAGTGGAGAAAGCTTTTCTGGCAGAAAACCAGAGCCAAGACAGTACCCTCTGGGAACTGCATCCAGATCACAGTCCCCCCTGGAGTTAAGAACCCATCCTTCTGATCTGACCAGCAGAAGGCCAAATGTTGACTTGGCATAAATGTTGCTATGTCGATACTTAGTGATCAGCTACTATACGTGTGTTGATATTGTGAGACTTTATTGATCTGTAAGACATTACCTGTGATACCTCCAGGCTCTTAGGAGACACAACACAGCTGGCTTGTGAGAATTCAGACCTCATTCCCGGGTTCAGTGGAAATCTAGACCTTAATTAAAAATCATTAAACTATTCTATACCCCGCCCCCAAGAATCACCCACATTCTCTTCAACTGAATTTCACCCTGGCAATTTTCCATGAGGGATCGAGAGCTTTGTTCACCTCCTGACACAGGAAGACTAAGCTATCTCCTACTAAAAGAGACCCCTGGTTAGTGTGAAGGCTTCAGAGGTTCCGGGCAATTCTGACTTCTAAGCTGGACCTTGGAGATGGTGGATGGAAGACACTGATGGGGGAGGGCAGAGTCAGGAGCAGGGAGGGCATCATTACCAGCAGCTCCTGGGGCTTCACGGAGTTATCGGTGTAGATACACAGCTTTTCAGCAGTCAGTGGGATGGTCTCTTTGAGCTTGGAGGCTAGAAACATGCACACTGCACCCAGGAGCTGAAGATGGGTCTTAGGAGTCGGGACTCCAGCCAAGAAACGGTCCAGATAATTCATGGCCAAAGGAAAGACTTCCTCTTCGCACTTCTGTTCTTCACAGACCTACAATCAGAGTGGAATGGGGTCCGAGAATACCGTGAAAAAAAAATAGCATCAGAAAAATAGGAAAGGAATTAAAAGTATAACCCGTGGCGACCCAAAAAAATTTTTTTAAAATTTTTTGTTGAGGGGGGAGGGGAATAGAAAGGGCAGTAAAAACAGAGGTGAGGACATTAGGGTAAATCCGAAGAGCCCTCGGGTCTCTGATAGTCCCCAGGGCTAAAAAAGGTGGCTAACTAAAGACCCCCCCCCAACCCTAAGGCAAAGCCCAGAACAGCAGCCGCCTGCCATTCCCTCCGGCTCCTCACTTCTCTGCGCTCTAACTCACTCACTCTCTTTTTTGGATTTCGTCATCTTTTCAAAAAATCAATAAAAATATTCTGGAAGCTCCAAGGGTCCACTTCTTGGTCTCATTCGGATCCCCAGACCCTATTCTATCATTCCCGACAATTGAAAAAAATGTCCAGGGTGGTCTCGGCCGCCCAGGGGCCGCTGTTGGGGCGGTGGGTGGAGAAGAGAGGGGGAGGGAGGAGGAGGAAGCGCGCCGCAGCCGCCGCAGCTGGAGCCGGAGCACGGGGGACCGCTTAAAGAAAAAATTATTAAAAATCGAGGAAAAAGCCGAGAATCGTCCTTTGTGCCTGAAAACCCCAGAGAGGCTCCCGGCTCCCCGGAATAGAGGTTGGGGGTGTCATTAAGGTCGGTATCTCCACCCCAGGGGCTCTGGATCCCGCTGGGGAAACTTGCGGAGTGTCCGGCTGCGGCCCACAAGGGCAGTAGCTAAGAAAGCTGTCCCCAGATGGGAGCTGGGGGAGACTAATCAGGGAACCTCTCTCAAGGAGGCACGCGGGACTCTGATCTCTCATTTGGAGGTATCCCCTAGCCCGCTCTACACACACCTCCTCCCTCGCTTCCTACCCCACCCAAATCTGCGCGCTGAAGAAGCAGTCAAACTGTAAGTAACCTTGGTATACAGGGGACTGGGAGTGAGGGCACGATCAGAAAGAGGGTGGTCACCATCATGGGGTGCTTGGGGGAGCGGGCGAATGTTCCCAGTCCTTGCAATTGGAGTTTGCAAAGCAACATGGCGAAACCACGGCAGGTCCAGAGCTGTGCATACGTGGGCACCCTGCTCTCTCCGCAAAGACTGCAAACAAGGCTTAAGCAGCGGTTCTTTCAGATTACCCTAAAACGCACGTTTTTCCAGTGTGACTTGAAGGGCTCTCCTGAATTCCCTGTTTCTCTGCCCTTACTCCCCCTCCAAAGTGCCAACGCGAAGTACCGACCACACTCAGGGGATCCGAGGCCAGGGCGGTATTGCCCCAGCTTTACTGGCGGGGGTGGGGGTGGGGGTCCTGTCTTTCACTGTTGATGTGGATTTTCAGGTCCACACACCCTCAGGGGCCCCACTGAAGGCAGCTGTTCCACAAAACAGGTCAAGATGGGGATGGGAGGACGAGGAAGCCACATGCAGACACGCGCGCGCGGGATGCCATCCCCCCCACCCCCCGACATCGTTGCCTCACCCACGTTTTCCTCCCCCAGTTCACCTAGCAAGGGACAGAACTGCGTCTCGTCCAAGGGTGCGGGGCCACCTCGCGCACGAGTAATGGGAGGCCGGAGCTACTCCTCGCAGTTTTAGGGTCCCTGTGTGTTGGGCGGGGGGAGGGGGTGGTGGTGGTAAAGAAGGTAGGACTGCCTCAACTTTAGAGCGTCACCAGCACACCAACCTCTAACATCCAGGTGGCCACCATCCTGCGCATGTACGGCTGAATGTCCTTCTGCACGCACTTGAAATAGGAACACTGTGGGAGGTAGCGCTCCTCGATGGTCAACAGGTTCTGCAGGACGCGGTCTTCCAGCAGGTTGCGGTCCGGCACAGCCCTGCGGACCGGGTCCACCTCGCAACACAGCAGCTCCATGGCCAGCCAGCGACCACTCGGTCCCGACTGTGGAAGTGTTAGTAGTTTTTGGAGGGAGGGGGCGCTCCCCTTACCTCCTTCCTTTGGCGAAATTGGTGATTTGAGAGAGGGAAAATGGGAGAGAGAGAGAGAGAGAGAGAGAGAGAGAGAGAGAGAGAGAGAGAGATTGACTGAGAGAAGGAGGAAGAGTGGAAGGTGAGCGAGCAGAGCCTCAAGGGCTGCCTGCCTCGCACAGTCCTTCCCTCGGAACTGCCTTGCTCTCCCCAGCTCGCTCTCCTCACTCTGAGGCAGTGACGCAAGCTGGCAGGGCAGTTAGATCTCCTCCCCCTCTCCGGTTCCTCCTCCCCTTTCCTCCTCTCCCCCTGGCGTCCCTCCCCTCCTTTCAATCTCTCCCTCCCTCTTTCCCTTCCCTCCCCCCACTAGTCCCCACCCCCGCCTTTTCCCTCTTGTTATTAAGGAGCACAGCAGCTGGCCCGACCAAACTTCAAACACGATCCCCCGCCCCCCCCCCCCCCCCACTAGTTCTCCAAGGCCCTCTCCCTCTATCCAGGCCCGCATGCTAGGGGCCCCGGATAGGGGAACCCACAAAACCCACGGATTCCTACTGATTCTCTATCCGTTTCTTACATTCTGTAGCCATACAATGGGGAGGCGGTTTGCCCTCTAACTTTGGGGTCTTGCAGTGTGATCTGAATACTGGCCACTATTCACAATCCAGCGGTAGAAGGTAGATTGATTGAACATGTGGACGAGCTCATACAGCTTAGAAGTAGATCCCCTAACTGAAGAATAAGGGAAGGCTTATTTGAGAAAATTGCAACCTTGCATACCCAGGGATAAAGGTTATAACGCCCCTGAAGCTTAGGTTACTGATAATTTTCAAGTTGTTTCCCAGCCCAAAGCCACGTCTATGGAGAGGAAGAGGAGGAAGGGGTGGATGCTGGAAGGAGGGGGCTGCTCCTCAGACCTGGGAGAATATGACCCTCGTGCAGAAATCCTCGTGTTCTTGGGGGCGCCATTGGGCGGCGCGGCCAGCCGCTCGGGGCCGCCGCAGGCCGGGGGCAGGGCTAGCAGCTGGTCCTCCTCCGCCCTCGGCCACGCAGGAAAAACCCGCTTCCTCGCCCCTGCATCTGCTGACAAGCCGCCCTAGGTGTCTGCGCGAGCGTGGCCACACAGATACAGCTTTCTAGGAAATGGCTCGGGAGGGGCCAGGGAGGGGGAGAGGGAGGGCTTAAGTTTGGCTCTCCCCGCGCCGGCGAGGCCACCCTTCCTTTACCCGGAGACTCCTGGGTCGTGCACCCCTCAATCTTACACCCGGCGGGGTCTCGCGCCTCACTTGTCAGCCAGGACTTTGGGTCGGCCCTGACACGTGCTCTAACGCATCCTGTGGTCAAGGCTGTTTGTAGAAGGGACACGGTGGTGCTTCCTCACCTCCTTCCTTCTCCCACCATGCTTTTCAGCGTATTCCACTTGGGGAGGAAGGGGTAAGGACCCAGGGCCCCCGGCAGGGTGGCCACGCTGGCACGTGCAGATAGCATGGCGTGGGTTGCGGCTCTCTGGGCACACCAAGGGCCACTGAGTCCCTCCTTCCCTGAGAACCGGGGCCTGAGCAGGGGCGCCTACAGCTAACGGAGGCTGGGGGGTGGCGCGCTGGGGGAGCTGCACCCGTGGGCACCCAGAAAGGCCCGGGAGGGGAGGTGAAAGGAAGAACGCAGGAGGGGAGGGGGGCAATAAAGCCGAGGTGCAAGCGATTAACTCCGGCCCGACCAGCCCCTTTAAACGAGGGTGGGGCGGAAGGGGTGGGCGGGGGGGAGGGGATATCACTTTAAAAGGGTGAGTAAGAGTTTGGGGCGCCGTCTCCCCTCCCTCTATTTGCATAGCCAATAGCTCTGGGGCTCCTGCTACTGCGCGCTGATTGTTACCGGGCAGATTACTTTTTTTTTTTTTTTTTTTTTTTTTGTAGGACGCCTTCCTCGCTACATCAAAAGGAAGCCCGGGGAGGGCGGAGAGAGAGCGGGGACCCGGGCGGGCTCGGGCTACAGAGGGGCCCGGGTGCCACGGACCTTATCAATGGCTGCGGGAATTAGTATCCAATCTACTGCATGTAAAGAAAGGGGAGGGAAGGGGCGGGCGAGGAAAATGTCCAATTGCAGTGGAAGCCATTAGCTTTCGGGAAGAAAAAAAAACTCATTGAAAAACCCAAGTTGCAAACTCAAAATGAAACAGTCCCGCGACCAGCATGACTCTTGGCTAGTGCACTGTCCATCACCTGTTGCCTTTAATCACAGGCTTCCCAAATAGAAGCTTTTTGGTATCACCCTGGACAGATAGGTGAATTTACGTTTTAAGACCTCATAAAAGCAATGACTAAAAAGTTCCCCAGGGCCACCTCAGAGGAAAGGATCTGATAGAGCCCCGGGACAGGGGAGCAAGTACGGGGCGACATAGGTGTATGGAGGTGTCCATCTATCCCGACCGAGGACTTGGAGGCCGTCCAGTCTTTCCACATCACTCGAAGGCTAGCTCTTCAGGGTTTTCTCTGCACCTCCAGTGAAGACAGCATCCGGAGCTCCAGGACGGGGAAGAGGCGGGTGGTCGTCGTCGGGGCTCGCCCACCCGGAGGACAAAGTCTGGGTGGCGGGTCCTCCAGTCTCCAGAGCCTGCGGAGGGCCCCTCGCCTCTTCCCTCCCCCACTCTTGGCTTTGCAGTGAAATTCCAGCGGGGAGGGGATTCTGGGGGTGGGAGAGGTGGCCTGCGGCGGGGAGGACGGCGGAGGAGGGGAGGAGAGGGTCTCGGGACGGAGGCCCCAAATGTCTGGAGACTGGAAAGTGAGAGCGCTTCCAGCCTGAGAAGCCCTCTCCTTCAGCTCCCCATCTACTTCCCCCTCCGGCTACTGAGGGTTCCCCAAGGTGAACCTCGCACCGAATTCGTCCCCAGCACGTGGGGTGCGGCGTGAGAGGGTGCGGAGGTTGGCAGCATGTCTCTGAGAGGTTGGAGCTGGAAACTGCATTCTCTCTTTCGGTCGCCACTCTGACCACGTGCTAAAAAAAAAAAAAAAAACTTAATTTCTTGTTTTTTTTTTTTTAATTTCTTGTTTTTTTTTAAAAATTGTTTTATAAAATGTACTTCCTCCAGCTAGCACGCGGGAAAGGACATACCGCCATAGGGGCAAATGTACTTATTTTTCTTGAATGTGGACTTGGGTGTGCAGGAGAAGCGCCAGTGCGCTCTGCTGGGAGGGGGGGTGCAATAAGAATAAGGGTTCTCCTCCTCCCCCTTTATAACTCCTGAAGGTGGAGTAGGATCCGTGATAAACCTGAACCAAACGCGAGTTTTGCTGGACTTTTAGTCTCTCCGGGACGTGTCCCCACCCCCACCCCCTCCTTTTTGCATCCAGCAGTTTCGGTTGGAAAGCGTACAAAGCCTGTAGGTGTAAGGTGCAGCAGGGGGTTGGGTGTTTATAGGCATATTTCTGCAGGAACCTGCCACCTAGGCACACATTCTAATAAGCTCACCTGGCGGATGCCAGGCAGCCAGGTGATCCTGCGGTCGGCCACAAACTGGGGAGTCCTTGGTTCGAATCCTGTCACCTGGACATTCTGGTCCAGGAATGGGGGTCATCGCCTCCTCCCTGACTCCCACAAAGAATAGAGCTGTGTTTGGGTTACTCCAGCAACGTCAATCACAACTCCAAAACCTCGACAGTTGCCTATTGTAGAGCTGAGAAAAGGTTCAGTAAGAGGGGTGGGGAAAACATAAAAAAAAATAGGGTTAAAATGTGAGAAGGTGGGTGGGGGTGGGGAAGAGTTGGGGGGAAAAAAGTCCGGAAAAGAGGGGGCAAAGGACCCAGGACTGGAAGCTCCCACGGGGAGACCAAGCAGCTCCAGGTGGGAAAGCGTACCCGGGACCCTCCCCGACAGCAGACCCGTAGACCTGATGAACACAGTCTCCAGCCCTGTGCACTCCAGTGACCCTCGGGTGGGTTTCAGCGTGGACCCCCGGAAGGTCCCTGTGGCGGCACATGAGGAGGTTCAGAAGCCAGGGCCTGCAGTTGGCTCACCCACCTCGCACCTCTCCTTTGGAAGAAAAAAAATTAAACACCCAAACTTCCCCGTCTTCCTGTCTGATTCAGCTTCTGGACACGCCTCACCCGGCCGAAAATAGCCCTGGAAACGTATTTACTTTTTAAAAGTGAATTTGCTAGAAAGATCTGGGAGGATTGGGGAGGGGGCGTCGGGCCGGCGGCGTCGGGGGTCTTGGTTCCCTCCCCGGGGCGCCCCCGGGAGGGGACGGCGGGGCAACGGAACCACGCCTCTGCTTGGGGAGCCACCACGCGGCTTTTTCGCGGAATTTTGACGTCACCCACATGTGGGGGAAGGGGTTGGGAGAGCGAAAGGAAACGGCGGGGGAGGGGGGCGGCGCGACCGGTAGCGGGGTGGCCGCCCAGGCGCTAAGAGGGTCCCAGGTCCCTAAGCACCCGCTGAGTGCCGCGGTCAAAGTTGCGACCCAGCTGCAAAGTTTGGTTCCGTGTCCCCAGCCATCCTCTACTCCCCAAAGCTCCCCCCCCCCACCTTCTACACTTATTTTTATTTATTTTTTTACTTTGAAATCGAGACCCGTCCTTTGCTCCAGAAAAAAGCTGGTTTCTTTGGTTTGCGGTCCAGTTCTTCTGGTCCCTGACATCCGACCGAGTATCGCGATTGCTGGTGGCGACGGCCAGCGAGGGGCTTCCTAAACCTCTCTGCACCCGGGAAGACAAACTTGTGTCCTTCTGCTCCTTGGGAACAGAGTTCTTTGTTTACTGTCACACGCGGGATTTTTCCACGCGCGACCGATTCCTCCCTGTCTCACTGCACATTCCATTTAAACATCCTCTGAACTGGTTACTATGACGGTGACACACGGAAGCTCCTGGGGTTGCATGGGAACATCGCCCACGGATTTTGCTGCACCCACAGCTAACCTCCGTTAGAAGTCCAGAAAGATGAGCGCAAGTGCAGGGCCCCTCCCCGCCCACTCTCTGGAGACCCACAGGGCATCCGTACACGTGGAGAGACCGTAGGGGTTGAAAGTTGCAGGGTGAGCCCACGCGTCTTCCTTTCCCCTGAATTTGGGCAAAATCTTTTTAATCTTTCAGTTTAGAGACGCGAGGGCTGAAATGTGTCATTTTCTCTTGAGCCCCTGGTAATTAGGATGAGTTGATGCTCACAATCAAGTAGCCACAGTGGGGTATTGAGGAGAAAAATACCACCTGGCTCTACGTTTTTTTTTTCGACCTTACTGAGGTAAAGGGGCTTGTGTCAGGGGCCTCTTTGAAATGGACTTGATGTGGAATTATTTGTTTCAAAAGTTAGGGGAATTTTTAGTTTGAATCAGAGGCGAAGCTTGGAAAGATTATTTCTTTTTTGAAGACGACAGAGTGGTTATGAGCAATGCTTTCTTGCTTCGTTTGAACACATTCTCTCTATTTTTAAATTATTATTTAGTTCTTTTTCGTTTAATGATTGCTAGTCTGACCCAAGCAGCTTTGCTTTGTTTCTTCTGGGAAGGGAGTGGAATTATAATTAATAAAAATGTCAATAATTGCTCTTGAGGCTCAGTTTGAGGAACCTTTATTGAAGAATGCTGCTTTTAGGTGGCTGATGTGATGAACATTTGCTTTGTGTGTACAAGGTAGGAAAACAGAATAGATTATTAATTTTTTTTTTTAAGAAAAGAGCTAAAGGAAGTGTTTTAAGAACCTCACAGACAAACATGCTTTAAATTTTACTTCACCTTCACTTGACATTTTAAATTGTGGACATTTCTCTGTAAAACTTTTAACACTCTCCCAACCAGATTTTTTTAAAGCAAAAGTCAATTTTATTTCTTTTCCAAACACTTTGCTTTTGCTCAAATCCAAACATTTTTCCCCTCTAAAAAAAATGCCCACTTTCTTAGTGTGGTTGAACACATTTGATTCCATTGCATTGTTGAGCCACACATCAGCCAAACTGCAGCTTTACATACCCTCATCATTATTCTCTATTTTCTATCATATTTTTTCAGCTATTAAACATAAGGAGTGTCAGCATTTGTTAGCCCAGTTTCTGCACAATCCCCACAGCACATCAGATTCACTCTCCAGCTTTTCCACAATTAAATCATTTTTTTTAAAAAAAGGAGAAATGATTTTTTTTTAGCTCTTAACTTTTCCTCCTTTTTTTTCCTAGAGGCAGGATGAAATTTATATCTAAGATTACTTTCTTAGTATGGTTTTGCTGATAAAAAGAAAAGAAACAGAATGAGCTTGACACTATGCATCTGGTTGTTTTTCCAGGTTTCACGTTCTTCTAAATATGCACCTTCAGGGGAGATGCAGTGCTCCAGACCTGACCTGTTGGGGCTGAGTTTGTGTCGGGCTGCTAGACAGCCCACGCTAGCTTGGACCCCTATGAGGAATGTGTGTCCTCTTTGCTCAGCATTAAGTCAGGGCATCCGCTTTTGCATGACCTTGATACAGTGAGTGTCTGTGCACTGAACAAACAAAGTCTGGGGCAGAGGAGTTTATATGGAGGATGAAATTAAAGCAAAAGCAAAAAAAAAAAAAAAAACCCCAAAGTTGTTTCTGCTTTCAGCTGTCTGCAATCACACTCTTCCTCATAGTTCCCTGAGCTGCAGATCAAATGAGTCCTGTTACCATGTAGAGGAAATAGTTCCTCCAAGCCCCAGTGTGTGTGTGGTGGTCACGTTAGTCATGGTGATGAGGGGCAGCAGTGAGTCTCAGTACTGCATTGAGTGCATGCAGGAACCTTTACTTTCTTCTTGTCCTCAAAATTATTGTCAGATGGTTATGTTTTTGTTTGGGGACACAACACTAAAAACATTCAGTTCTGACATTTTTTGAAACTAAGTCACCCACTGCCTAGACGAAGGGTAAAAAAGAAAGAAAACCCATACAGTATTTAAAGTGAATAAGAAAATGTCTTTGCCTTATTTTCAGAGCGGTGTTCCTTCATCACGGCCATATATGTTGCCATTTACTTAAGAGCAACCTTAATGTCAGTACAATGGGGACATGCCAACATCAGGACCCAAGCCCCATCCTGGTATCAAAAAGGATGTTGTGAAGCAAAGGGTTTAGGTTAATTTACAGCAGGCTTCATATGGAACGTCTTACCCTTAGCATTCCCTGGCCACCAATTGTTTCTGGACCATGAAACCTCATTATTTTTAAAAAACAAGTAACAAAAACCAAACAAACCAAAACCAATATTTTTTTAAGGGCAGAGGCTTCCATCATGACTCGGATGTGCAGGCCAACGTGTGTGGGGTTCTCACCAACATCACTTAACTGAGAACCTTTAGCTGTATCAGGAGCAGCACATGGCCCCCCGATGTCTGGTGATAAACGGGTGAGGGACTGACTTTTCTACCCCCTCCTCTCTTCTGAAGAAAAAAAAAACACAAAAACATTCTTCTCTTTTCTTTCAAAATAGTGTGTTTAATTTAAAATTTCCTCAGCAGAATATTGAATAAGGCTTCAATTTACTTGCTTCGGTAAAGAGACGTTCACATAATTACTCTTTGTAGTGCAATTACCAGCGATTTTATGTCTAAGTGAGTCGGGAATGGAACGCTCGTGAAATTTGCTACAGTTGAAATGAAAACCATACTTACCTTGAGAAACCAGAGTCATACCTCCTCTCCAGTCGCTAAAGATTGCAGGCTGTATGTTTCACACAGCTGAAGACCCAATTTTAGACAAGCATTGTTCTGGACCATAGATTAGATGAGGTGTTGCTTAGGGTTGAACCTCCTGAAGTTTTGGGCAGTCATAGAATATGCCTCTGTGTTTAGGAGTTTGCTGTTGAAACTATATAACGTCCATCAGGGTTATGCATGTTGAGAGAGCTCATAGATGCTGGACTGATAGCATTGCAGGTCTATGTGCAGATTCAGCGGGGCATGCTGGGGGCATGATTTGGACTTGCAAGGAAGAACTTGATTGGTCTTAATGGATGAGTTGACTATGCTAAGATTTCCATGCATCTGGCTTTGGCACTTTATTTGCTTATGATTGAATCCTTTTAAAAGCTGAACGCGGTGGTAGAATGGACATATACCTGCTAGTCACTCAACAAATGTGTTGGGAAATATGAAGGAAAAAGAATTGATTTGTAAGCTCCTGACCCTAAGAAGCACATTCTCTAGTGATTAAGTGTGGGAAAGGATTAGCAAACCAGATGAATAGGTGGGTTTTTAAAATAATAAAATCTCACAGGGGAAGTAATTCTTTCTCCTAGTGTGTTTTTTGATATACAGGAACCCTGGGTTCCATCCCTGACACCTAGTAGAATTAGGCATAAGAGTATGTGCCTCCTAGCATTTGGGAGATATAGGAAGGAGTACCAGAAGTTCATGGTTACTCCTGGCTACATAGGGAGTTTGGAGCCAGTGTGAGACACATGAGACCATAAATAAATACAAGTAAATAAGAATGAAACTGTCGGTCAAAGGGCTTAGGATGAGATATTGTGCCGACCTGAGTAACTCATAGCAGGGAGATGTAGTGACTTCATTTCAGATGGAGTCCAGTAACCATTGGCTGGGTTGCATCATGTTTCTTCTGAAGACACGTTCTTAGCTATGCTCTTAATTTATAATATATTACAAATATTACCTGTATTAGAGATACAGCAGGGACCAGAATGGGACACGGCAAACCCTGTGATCTAGTTGATTGTCTGTCTGAGTCCTTTGAGACTACTTAAAGACAGACCTCTGTCCTTGGCCCCTCATTCCCATGAGCATCCTGTAGTGGCACTTGACAGGGCAGAGGTCAGTGTGTACTTCTCTTCTGGGGCTGTGTGTGATTTGAGATTAAAGTAGTTTATCCTGACATGGCCCAATATATAGTAAACAGTCTTTTTTTTTAAAGTACTTATTTTTATTTCATATACATTGGTGTTTTGACTGCATATAGTTGTCAGATCCCCTGAAAACTTGTGGGTACTGGGAATTGAACCCAAGTCCTCTGGAAGAGCAGCCAATGCTCTTAATCACTGAGATATTTCCCAAACCCTGTAGGTGGTAGCTTGCATGCCACCAGAATATGCTCCTGTCCTTGGCAGTGCATGAGCGGAACAGAGCTAGTCTGGAAGCCAGAGGTCTCCCATTCTTGTTCCTGGTTTGCCCTCAACTAGTACTGTGACCAGGGTTGGTGTCTGTGATCCAAAAAGACTGAGTTCGCTCATCCACAGAATCAGCTGACCATAATAAGTGATCTTTAAGTTCTTCGGTTCTGCATCG